AAAACTACAGTTCCCAGAATTCCCTAGCAGTGAGCCAGGGCAGTTAAACTGGTTTCAAACTGGATTATTTTTGCAATGTGTTTTGCACCAATGTGAAATTAATTCCTTTTATGTTACATACTCTCCAGTATTTCATATGAAACCTGAAAGACATATGGCCAGACAACAACAGAGTGTGGTCAAGATGTTAATGTATTAATTAGGGAGAACATGCAAGGTCAGAGAGGCTGCAGCTGTTTACCTTTTTCTGAGCCTGCTGGGAAGAGCTAGGTAAGATTCAATCCCTTCTCCTCTACTACCAGCTGAGTTCAATAAATAATTGTTTTAATTGATAATCGTTTAATAATTTTTTAAGAGGTGGGAGGGTTGGATTGGGGATTGATTATATTGTATTGCATTTTATGTTGGAAGCCGGCCCGATTGCTATGCAGAGGGGCGGGGTATAAATCAATTTTATTATTATTTTATTATTATTATTATTATTATAAATGCAAATTATTATTATTATTATTATTATTATTATTATTATTATTATTATTATAAATGCAAACTACTTCTCCACTTTAACCTCATTTTGCAGTATTTGAAGTAAACTGTGCACAACAAGGGAGAGGAGGAGGAGGAGGAGGAGAGACAAACTGCGACATTTTAAAGGCAGCTGAAAAAGTGGGATGACAGGATTCATTGGGAATGTCCTTGACAAATCAGGAAAGCTGGAGGGTTTGATGCTACAGGTCAGGGCCAGCCCGAGAACTTTTGCTTCTGACGGCAAAGATCAAGGTGCTGCCTCCGACATTCCCCCTACAGAAGCCAACTAGACTGCTGATTGACTTTTACTTTCACGCTGGTAAATTTTGCTTTTGAACCATTGAGCACACCAAGAATGAAAGCAAGAGGATAGCTCAGGTGTAGGCAGCCTTTCCCCTTTAAGGGCCGAGGGACTTCAGCTCCCAGAAGCCTCAGCCATGTTGGCCAATAGTCCCATGTTGGCCAATAGCTCCTGGGATTCTGGGAGCTGAAGTCCCTTGGCCCTTCAAGGGGAAAGGTTGCCTACCCCTGGGATAGCTAAAAGGCTGCAAGAATACACCTCTCTACTCTCTGCAAGGGGGCTACCATTGCACTGCTGCTTACTCTGTACTACTCAGCACCTGCCACAGGAGAAAACTATTACTCATTCTGTTTTATGGCAGATTGCACTCTGATATAAGGAAAGAAACCATGTCTAGGTCCAGAGGCTGATGAAAGAC